GGGTTTAGGATTTAGAGGTTAAGGGTTTAGGGTTTAGCACCACAGGCCCTGGTGGACCGAGGACCTCGTGAGTTGAGTCTTTTAAGGGTTTGCCTCGTTTATCGGACCCTTGAAAGGTCATAGATGCTGACAAGTGGGAGTTTCCGAAAATAAGGGGTACCTTATTTTGGGGTCCTTATAATAAGGATCCTACTATTTAGGGTACTATATTAGGGTCCCCTATTTTCGGGAACCCCCAAGTAAGTTACCACGGAAGGTGATTATAGACAAAAACTGCTCGTTAATGCCCAAACCCCCCTTTAACTTGAACTGTTCAGTACGTTGAACTCTTCGTCGTGTCACCGCACCAATGCAACACTTCAGTCTGCAGGAAAGCCCTGAATAGAAGCCCTGGCCCTAAACCCTTCGTGAACAAATTAACTCCACACCCCAAGCCCTGAACCCTAAACCCTAAACCCTAAACCCTAAACCCTAAACCCTAAACCCTAAACCCTAAACCCTAAACTCCAAACCCTAAGCCCTAAACCCTTCTACGGGTTTGGAAAGGAGGTCGAAGGCCAGCCTAAGACAGCGATGCTGCGCCTCCGACTCAAGCCCTAAACCCTACTTAAAGGATCATGGGACTTAGTAACTAGGGTTATAATTAAGGTAACTGTACTTATAATTACCTATAACCCCAATTAAGGTACCTATAACCCTACTTACTAAGTCCCATGATCCTCCAAGTACACCCGTAAACCGCAACCCAGGCCATCCACAGCAACCTCTTCGCCCAGACAGTGCATGGCTCGGAGGGTTTGGGCTTGAGGCCTGCGCCGACGGGAGAAGTTCAGAGTACGGAAAATGAGCTCCAGTTGTGTGTTGTGCCGGGATATGATTTTGTAGATTCTGATACATACATGTGACGTGCTTATGTTTTTGCGTTGCTGTTGTCTATTGTACTCAATGTATGTCTTTCTTTATATATATATATATATAAAGATACATAGAAACATAGAACAAGCGTGGCAGCATCTATGTAGGTACGCATGCATGCACCCCTTAAGAATGTAGGTAATGTCGTACGTCAGAGCAGACAAATCACAGTATGGGTGTAAGTAAATAAATGAATGAGTGGGTAGGTGGATAAGTAAGTAAGCATGTCATTCTGAAACCACCAAATCAGCAGACAAAAAAGTCAAGCAAAGTACTGCGAAGCAAAATACAGTAGAGTAATGCACAAGGAAAAGTTAACGTAAAAGTAAAGGTCAAAGTAAAAAGTAAAAGTAGCGTAAAGTTAATTGAATGGCGTAAATATGTAGGTATGCAAACAATAAGAACTGAGAGACATTTACAAGAGAAGCTACAGAAAGTCTACTACTACCCACAACAACTACCACTACCACCACGACTACCACCTACCACTACCACTACCA